AGTGCGCGCATGGTCAGCGGCACGAGGGAGGATATTTGCGAGAGAGAAGGCATGCTGGGCAAGGGGGGCAAGGATTTGCTATGGACTAAGATGAAGCGGGAGGAAGGGCTGTGCGAGACGATGTTTCATGAATGTCTGGGATAGATCAGGCCTTTTGTAGTTGTCGGACTCGTGCCTGTGCCTATACGCAAGAGCGCTGTGTGTGGATGAGCATTGACGATCTGGCCCATGGGCGTGAGTAGACCTCATCAATATCATTGCTTGCTTCCTTTTCGGAGCAACAAGGTTAGAAGATGCAGGGATGGAACAGACTGCAGGGTAAGTTGGAGATGGGCTTGGCCGACTTGCGGGGTCGAGATCGCCCTTCGCTCAGGACCTTGGCAGTCCGGCAATCGTCCTTGCTGCTACTTGGCATCCGAGGAAGCTCAAAGGCGGCAGGCATACGGTGAGCATCGGCAAGGTACGCAGAAGCAGCATCGGGATCTGGTAGGGATGTTTCACGAGAGTGGATGGGTGAGTGTCTGCGAATGTCCCACACAAACACCTGACCTCCGACAACGCGTTCTTCACATGCATCCGCATTAGCGTCGGTAATCTTCGCGATATTTGGCTTCCACCCCTCGACTTGCCAGCATGCTGCATCCAATCTTTGCAAAGTGCGAGATACGCTTTCGGAGATCTGCACTGTACAGATCTCCAGTCTGCCTTTCGATTTGCGGAGCCCCGCATTTTGTTGCTACTGTATGAAGAAATTTGTCCGGGTGAATGGGCATTGCGGAGAAGCAAGCACTTTGCAGGAGGGTGTCGTGCACGCGCCGCCGTGTGTCAGAAACGATTTCATCGACAGGGCCAGCCAGACCTTCTCGCAGATCACATGTTTCGACAAGCAGCGCTTGCCATTCCCCAATGAATGACACCCGCACCTCTGTACTCCTGTCCTCGAATTTCCTGATAGCTGGAGATCAGCTCGTACTTCGCAAATGCATTTGTTTCACTTGCTTTCGAAAGCTGGGAGTGGACAGAGGTCAAGGTCAAATGGGAACTTGTATCGCGCGACGCTCTGCGGGCGCGTCCTGAGACAAGTCGTGGCCTTATATCCAGCAAAGACCACGTGATGTCTCATCTGCATGACGGCGCTTTCGTTCCCACGCCCCTTCGGATAAACCAACAATCGATCAAAACATGATCGTCCAGAGTGGCGGATAGCGCGACGCGCTTTTGCCGATCTTCGAGAAAAGTTCAAAGCACATCGAAGATCCTCGTGCTCTTCAAAGGTTTGGAACTTCCGGCACGAGCCATGCAATGTAGGCAGCTGGCATCAAATAGTTGGCAGGCAAGTGTGATGAGATCGAAGATCATGTCGATCAGCATGTCCTCTCGGACAAGTAACATCCAAGGCTTAGTGCCGTTCGCAGGGCCGTGCCTCGCTTTGCAATGGAAAGTTTTCTCTGTTATTTTGCCATTGTTGAGTCGTGTGCACGGCGGACATAATCCGAATCGCAGACCCTTTGGATCATCACTGCAGACCTTGCCACTTCCGTCGTAGACCTTCCAAGCTTGGCGACTGACTCGCATCATCAGCCTGGACCATTCATCGGACCGCTACTCAGAAACCCAGCCGTTCCACTCCCTTTCATTTCTCTTGCCTTTCAGCATCCTGCTCACGTCACAGCTCCAACAGAGTCGCAGGTGCCCATGTCAGCCCAGGAAGAGCATCCGCATGGCAGCCGGTCAAGTCTGGTCAACGGCCAATTGTCAGATGAGGACCTGATCAGCGTCGTCGCTTATCTGGCGAAGCCGTCAACATCAGATTCGACTCAGCCCGAACGCCGTCCAAAGCGAAGAAAGCTGAGTAGGATGTGGTCTCCGTTGCAAGAGAAGGAGATCAATATCTCCCACAGCACCGGTCAGACTATGAACGCAAAGCAAGGCAACGCGAGCGAGGATACAAGCAGACTTGCTGTGAATATGCAACGGCTTTCCACGACTTGGTGCGCAGAACCGAAAGAGCGAAGGCAGGAGCCAACGCTGAGAAAGCGGATCTCTAATGGACTACTTAAGTCATCACGCCTGGGCGTGAGGGAGCATCATGAAGCAGCGAGAGAATCCGTCTGCAGGTTTAGCTCCTCGCAATGGTTGCTAGTGGACAAGGATGGTGCATTCTCAAATGTGCCTCATCATCTCTCCTCGACGAGCCAGGAACGCTGTGGAGCCAAGGACGAGAAAGAGTGGTGCATCATCGACGCCTCTGAATTTGGGACGAGCGAGCAGAGACGCAGCAAAAGGAAGACCTCTACCAGATCGACTCCGCTTGTCGTCCCGACAGTCATGGTGACCTCTAGCTCACATGACTCGCTCTCGGCCGAGAAGACTTGCGACGCTCTCGATACCTCAAGATGGTACATTTCCAACTACAACCCCTTGTCGGACCTCCTACACCCCAGCGAAGCCACCTCGCCTCATCCTCGGACCTACACGCGCGAAATGGCAAGTGTGCCAAGGGATGCGCAGGCATGGGCAGAACCAAGCTCCAGCAAGCACGATGATCCCAGACCAGCCGACTTTGGCGATGGCGAGGTATTTCTCCTTGGCACCCAACATCCTCAAAAAGCGCAGAGGACATCTGCACCTGAGGACGATGGGAAGCCCAGACGTCGTCGAGGGTCCAAAAGACGCGCGACAGAAGGGGAGGTGACACTGTCAGGTCGCACTGGAAAGCCTGCTCTAGCGAGCTTAGCCTCCGCGAGTTGCGAGAAAGTGAGAATTGAAGGAAGCGGACGCGGCGAGGCGGGTCAGGATTCGAGCAAGGTCGAGAATGAGTATGAAGAGGCGAAATTGCAAGCCGCGCTTTCGGAGAGGGGCCGTCGTCGCAGTCTCTATGCGATGGATCGAACACTGCCAAGGAAACCCAACGATAAAAGGGCCATCCTAGGTATTGGCAGGCCTGGTATG